CTGGAGATGAGGGGATGCTGAGCAGAGTACACAAGCTAAGACATGAAGTGAGAAGGATGAGGTGTGAGACTCAGGTGGGGACCTAGACTTAACAAGTGACTTCTCTCCTCCCTATAACTCAGCTCTGGAAAACTTGAGACACGACCCAGAAGCATCAGTGTGCATCTATGCTGCCCAGGCCCAGGACAACATCCTGGCCAGCTGCTGGCGGAACTCCTGGCCACTGCCACATGGGGACTCATGGGTGTGTGACCCGGCCGCCACGCACCGCTGGAGCCCTAGCTGTGAGAATCTGCCCACTTCCCACCAGCGGCGCTCCTGGATCATGCAGGTGCTGGGTTCCTGGAAGATGTCTTTGAAGCAGTGATGTTCCTGAGCCCCCAGCCCTCCTTGGAGGTGGCCATGGCCCCAGCCACACTCACTATAAATGCCACATAGCTTGCCTCTCCCCATGGAGTTTTTCCTGTGAGATGAGCGTGTTCTTTATTATTGACTCAGTCAACATTCATAGATGCACGTAGGCTGTCTTATAAAGGGGGAAGCTGAGGCCCAGAGAGGTGGAATGGCTTGTTCAAGGTCACACTGTGAGTTTGCTAGATGTCTCAGCTTCCCCTCCCTCACAGGGAGAGAATAAGAACAAAAGGAGATGATTTCGGTAGCCTTCGGAGAAGGAAAAAGAAGAGATCCCCCCATCTCCACCCCATTATATGCACATCCCAAAATCCTGATCTCTGAGCCCCACCCTCAAGTCTTTGCCCAGAGGTTGGCCACCACTCATTTGGGCAACATTTACTGAGTACCTAACCTGGATCAGGCCTTCTCTGAGTGCCAGAGATAAAAATATGAATGAGACCCCACCTGAGGCCCTGGGCAGTTGATAGTCTGATGCAGTAGTTCTCAACTAGGGATGATTTGGACAGGTCTGAAGACATTCTTGGTTGTTTCCACTTGGGGAGGGGGCTGTTATCATCAGTGGGCAGAGGCAAGGGATGCTGCTAAACGTCCTACAGTGCACAGGACAGTCCCACAGCAAAGACACGTCCATCGTAAATTGTCAAAAGTGCTGAGGCTGATAATCTTTGGCCTCATGCAAGTATTAGAGACATCTAAAACACCAACAGCCCAGCAGATCAATGCTGTGCTGGGCAGTGTGGGGACTGTGAAGTCCAGAGGCTACCTGGGGGTGGGAGATCAGGGAAGGATTCCCAGAAAAGAGACGCCCCCTCCAGTGGGTTTGGAAAGATGCCTACACAGCAGGCGTGTATGGAGAAGAGCAGGGCAGGAGACCAAGAATCAACGGCAGATCTGAAGGTGCTCTGGAGCTTAGAGTGGGAGGGGAGAGGAGGACAAGGGCTGGGTTATATGGCCGTGGAGCCTGTGTTAAGGAGAAGACTTCAGAGAGCCTGGGAAGGCATGGTGGAAAGGGGAGAGGCAAGCAGGGGGAGATGCAGAAGGGTGTCTGCTTTAGAGAGCTTCCTCCTTGTGCACACACAGGCGCTGCTGTGGGGAGGGCAGGAGCCGTTCTAGACAGGAATCTGTCACTCTTCAGTCACATTAAGTTTATGCATGCCCATAACTCAGCACTTCCACCATGGGCATACATCTTGGGGAATCTTCCCACAGGTCCGTAAGGGGAGATGTATGAGAAAGTCTTTCTTAGAATTATTTGTGATGCCTGGGACAGGAGGCAGCCTGGGGATCTACCCTGAAGGGACGAATGGGCACCGTGGAGTCCCATGCAGCAGTTAGAAGCAGTGTAGCACCAGGGATGGGACCTAAAACCTAGTGCTCAGGGAAAAAAAAAAAATGCATGTACAAAAGAAGTTACATTTGCAAAGGACACTTACAAACTGAAAAACGCACATTAAAACACATTAGAGTGATAGGAGGAGGAAAGGAGGAAGGCTCAGGGGCATAAAAAGGAATAAATGAAAAAAAGAGGAAGAAAGCTTATGCAGGAGCAAAGGAGAGGTGCTGGGTGGGGGATGGACAAGAGCGTGGACAAGGACACCTGGCTTGGGGGCTTCAGGGTCTGGCAGGGGCCTGGACTGCAATGCAGGATGGACAGTATGACTGGACCTGTGGGTGACTGGGGAAGAATTTTCAGAATCTGGTGGTTGACAGAAGGGAGAGCAAGACCTCAGGATGGTGCCCAGATTTCAGGGCAGATGACCAGGCCAATGACCCCACTGAGTGGTCCTCAGGACCAGGAGCAGGTTTGGGGAGGGATGAGCTCAGTCTGGACATGGTGAACTTGAGGGGCTTGTCTGCCACGATAGTGGAGATATCTCCTAGGTACTGGCTGCACACGGTGGAGCTCAGCAGAGGGATCTAAGATGTAAACAGATTTGGGATATTCAACTGTGCACGGTGTGAGCTGAGATTCCCTGGGTGTGTGTGCAGAGCAGGAAGAGATGTAAGTCTGTAAGATGACCACACAGTCATCTCCAACAAATGTGGGCCAAGGCCATCAAGATCCTGGGCCTGAGATAGAATAACATAACCTTGTCCATTGCCAAGAATGTTCATGAGCATTGCCCTGTTTGAATCTCACGGTAGCCATAGGGAGTCATGGGAAAGGCAGGCTGGCTTTATTACCCATGTTCTACAGATGAGGACAGGGCTCAAAGATGGGTGGGTCTTGTCTAATGTCACGTCAGGAAGCAATTAGAAGTGTGGATCCCAAAGGCCTCCCAACTCCCATGTCTGTGCCCTTTCCACCCAGAGACACTGCTACTTTCACTAGACAGAGCCCAGGTCTGGGTGGCCTTGACAAAGAAGAGCTGCCATGTTTTAGGGCTGGGCGGTTTCGAAGCACAGTGGCACATGGCAGGCTCAATTATTGGCAAAGGCCCCCAAACAGTCTCAAGTTGGAAGGGTCAAAGAGCACTTCCCTTCTCTGAACCTTCCCTATCATCACCTGCAAAATGAGTTCTTATGGGATTTCATAGGAATCACACTTTTAAAATGGGAGCAAAAAGACTTTGGAGGCTCTGTATTCAAGAAGGGACGAAATGAAGACGAGAATAATACAGAAATCATTAGGGACTAGGCTGGAGGAGGAAGCATGGAAAATGAGATTTAAATTTGGAAGAAGAGAGCATATGGACCAGGTGTTCCCCTGGGCACAGGTGACATAAAAGGTAAATGACACAGTCCTGGGCCTGAAGGGTTCATGGCCCCTCCAAGTGTCATCCTGAGCCCTGCTGTCTGTCTCAATCTTGTGTCAAATAACAAGCAAGCTTGCTAGCTCTGCTTCTGGGCTTCAGATCTCTCTTCTTCCCTGGCTTCTCACCAGCATCCTCCTTGTCAATTTCTTAACCCAGCATCCCCTATCAATCCTTCACCTGGCAACTCAGGCCTTCCTAAGACAAATTTGCCCTTATGTCTGTCAGTATCTCACCGTCCTTTGCAGCATAAAAGGACAGCCAGGCCCTATGACCCCCACCTACTTTGCTGTCTTTCCTCTTAACTCAGCGTGCAGGCTGTTGCCCACACCCATGTCTCTGTACATGGACTTCCACTGCCTAAAATGCCCAATTTCCCTCCAGCCCCTATCCATCTGCAGAGACCTTCCCCATCTCTGCTCTGAGATCTACATCACTTCCTCAATGAACCCTCCTCAACCCCCTCCAAGGAACAGCCATTCCTCTGTTCCTCCACTGAGCAGGCTTGTGACCAGACTGGATTTAGACTGGTCTGCTGTGTGCCTGTCTTTCCTTCTAGACCAGGCTGTGAGCTCCTGAGACTGTGGCACCCAATACAGGGCCGAGCAGCCATTTGCTGGGTAACCCAGTGGCTGCAGGAAGGCAGATCTGGCCCAGAAGCCTTGTTTCCATCTCAGCTGTGGGGGGCATGGGTTTGTGCATGTGTGCTAAGTCACTTTAGTCGCTGTGTCTGACTCTTTGTGACCCCATGGACTGTAGCCTGCTAGGCTCCTCTGACCATGAGATTCTCCAGGCAAAGATACTGGAGTGGGTTGCCCTTTCCTTCTCCAGGGGGTCTTCCTGACCCAGGGATCAAACCTGCATCTCTTATGTCTCCTGCATTGGCAGGTGGGTTCTTTACTACTAGCCCACCACAGAATCCCAATCAGAAATAGTCTGATCACATCATTCCTTTCCTCAAAGCTCTCCAAAGGGTCCCACTGCACTGTGAGGAAAACCCAAACCCTCAGAGTCACAGCTCATTATCTTTCGCACCTACCTGCTACTCACCGTCTTTTCTGCACCTCGCACCTTTAGCCCCCTCTGTTCCCTCCTTGGGGAATTCTCTTCCCCAGACACCCCCTGGCCACTTCCAAGCTTCTTCCTTTGCTTGAATGAGTTTAAAACTTTTCTCCCACAGTCCTTGCTACCACTTGACAAACTCCCGTGTCTTGTTTACTGTCTGTCTCTCCGCTCCGCTTACTGCCCCTGGTGGCTCAGATAGTACAGAATCTGCCTACAATGCAGGAGACCCGGGTTCAATCCCTGGGTCGGGAAGATCCCCTAGAGAAGGAAATGGCTACCCACTCCAGTATTATTGCCTGGAGAATTCCATGGATAGAGGAGCCCGGCAGGCCTAGTCCATGGGGTCCGCAAGGCGTCGGAGACCACTGAGTGACTAACACTTTCACTTTCTCGGCTCTACCTTATCAACTCCTAGGGAGCAGGGGTTTTACTTGCTTTGCCCAGCACTGTATACCCAGCGACTACAACAGGACTGGCACGAGAAAGGAGCTTAGGAAACATGCTGACTGGTTAAATAAACGAGTGAACTAAGTGACCGTGCGCTACTGTGGGGCACTGGGTTCACCCACGGCCCCGAAAGTATTCGAAAGTACGCGGGAGAGTAGGGGCTTCCCGGGGTAGGGGTGGAGTCGGGTCGGCCACGCCTCCAGAACGCCGGAAGCAGCACGCCTGCGCCACCCGGAAGATTGAGAGGGGGCACTCACGCCGCCGGAAGCTGCCGTAAGGTTCTCGGCGCCCGGGCGGTGGCTGGATCGCCAGGGAGCAGACATGGAGCAGCAGGAGCTGGGCGCCACTTTTGACGACGGCATGGACTCGTTCTTGGAAAAGTTCCAGAGTCAGCCTTACCGTGGCGGCTTCCACGAGAGCCAGTGGGAGGAGGTGGGCGGGCCCGGGGTCTCAGCACGTGCGTGCGTGGGCGTTGTCCCAACTCCTGGGGCCTCCCGGGCCCTGAGGCGCTTTACCGCCGAGGTTTGGCGATGCTGGCGGATAGGCGTTTTCTACTTGCGTGTTAAAAATCGGCCCCGAAGCTTTGAGGGTCTTCTTAAGCTGGCAGTATGTTTAGATGTTCAGGTTTTGGAGTCAGAAACCTGTGAGTTCACCGCTTATCTGAGACCGTCCCCTCATTTGTAGAATTCCTCTGACTGGAGCACCAATCTCGTAGGATGGTGGCGAAGCTCAAGTGAGAGGATAGGTGAAGTGCCAGGAACAAACGAGCGTTCAACTCGTTTGGTAGTTAACTGCCGGTCTTGTAAGAATGTGAGAACTGAAGGGTCTTTAGGTATTCTGCACTCTTATTTTACAGGTGGGACACTGAGGCCGGGGCGGGAGAGATGTCATGAGGGTTTGCAAATTATGATGAGTGAGAAAAAACTTTGATGTGGAGACCTGGGATTGGGTCTACTCAGTGGAAAATTGTATTCGTATAGTTCATTCTTCTCTTAACAACCTCCAGGAATTTGAAAAGATTCCTCTGTTTATGAAGAACTCGCCATCAGAAATTGATCCCCTGGAGAATCCTGACTTGGCCTGCCTGCAGTCAATTATTTTTGATGAAGAGCGATCTCCAGAAGGTATCTTCAGTGACACTCTAAGCTCCTCCATTAAATTGAGATAAAGTGTGAGTCAGAAAGGTTTCGATAAATAACAGAAGTAGTTAGCCCTAGCTAACTTGTCACTATTTATTCCACATATACTTCTTTGTATACCTACTAAATACTGGGCACCCGGACACAGGAAGGAATGAGAGTGCCCTCAAAGGTCACACTCCAGTGGATAGCTCAATTGTCCTAAAGAATCAGGACAAACCTATGACATAAATGCCAAGGTATTATAGGTGCTGTTGGAACACCAAAGGGGGGGTGGGTGTAGGAGTGGGCTTTCAATGGGTGGGAAATTTGAACTGAATTGTAACAATTTTGTAGGCTTTTGCTAAAGTGAGGAGGGGAATTTGCCTTCAAGGGACTCAAACAACATATTAAAAAACAGTAGTGTAATTCCCCCCCCCCCATTTCTTCTGTAATTAAAGCCCTCTCTTCAAGAGATAAGTGTACTTTTTTCCTTTATGCTTTTTTGTGTGTGTGTGAGCACTTAATAGTCTACCTTGTAGGATATTTAGAATTGATTGTGGTTAAGGACATACATATCTTCTCCATATCGATACCTGTTTTATAGCATTCATTTTTGAGTTTTCTTTCCGTACTGGTTCTTTCTGGTTTGTCATTACATTAGTGTGTGATTTCGATTTTTAATGAGCCATTTAAAAAATAGGGTATAGTGATTTTTCCCTGCTCTTTTTTTGCAGATCAGGCCAGGACTTACAAAGATGAGGGCAATGATTTCTTTAAAGAAAAAGACTATAAGAAAGCTGTTACTTCATACACTGAAGGATTAAAGAAGAAATGTGCAGACCCCGATTTGAATGCTGTTCTTTATACCAATCGGGCAGCAGCACAATACTATCTGGGTAATTTATTCTGTTATTCAGTACTTTCTAAAAGATTAACTTATGATAAAAAAACTATTACATGATGGCTAGTGGGGAGGGTTTGAGGTGTCAGAGGAAAAGGAGCTGTTTATCCCAGAAACCTTAAGATGGCTTACTTTAGCTGAACTTTGATTTTCCAGGTAGATTGGTGAAAAGGGATGTCAGATTGTATAATTCTTAACTATTTAAGTCAAATGCTGCTGCTGCTCCTAAGTCACTTCAGTCGTGTCCAACTCTGTGCGACCCCATAGACGGCAGCCACCAGGCTCCCCCATCCCTGGGATTCTCCAGGCAAGAACACTGGAGTGGGTTGTCATTTCCTTCTCCAATGCGTGAAAGGGAAAAGTGAAAGTGAAGTCGCTCAGTCGTGTCTGACTCTTGGAGACCCCATGGACTGCAGCCCGCCAGCCTCCTGCGTCCATGGGTTTCTCCAGGCAAGAGTACTGGGGAGTAGATTGCTAGTGCCTTCTCCGTTGAGCCAAATGAGTAACATCAAATACCTTAATACATGAGTTAGTATGATCTGGAATTTTTGAACCCAGATGCTTCTCTCTCAAAAGTAAGTTTGTTTGTTTTTTTCTGGCCTCCTCTCAAGGATGCCAGAAGGATTAAGATGATAAAGTTCTTTGTGTGAGAGAAACTGTATTAATCCACGGGAGAATTTCTCAGTAGTCTGTGGGCCCTTTGAAGTAAAACGTTCCTTGGACAAGTAAAACAGGACAGTGCTGCCTCTTCATTGGAGATTTGCAGTGCACAATTAGTATGTTAATACTGAGAAAACCTACAGCAGAGAACCTTATCCTGTGATTCTCAGGTTTTGTGAGCCTCCTTTTCAAGTAACACTTATTAACATGCAGGACTGTTTTGCAGACATGACTTTGGGAAACACTGATTAATTATTTGGGTGACATCATTGTTTTTATCTAATCTTAGGCATATTAAACCCTTGTTTCTTATCACAGTTTTATTTTTTATTTTTTTTAATTTATTTATTTATTTTTTTTATCACAACCATAGTGTATCTTTTTTTTTTTTTTACATGTATTCCCCATCCCGGTCCCCCCTCCCACCTCCCTCTCCACCCAATCCCTCTGGGTCTTCCCAGTGCACCAGGCCCGAGCACTTGTCTCATGCACCCAACCTGGGCTGGTGAACTGTTTCACCCTAGATAATATACGTGTTTCAATGCTGTTCTCTTGAAACATCCCACCCTCGCCTTCTCCCAGAGTCCACAAGTCTGTTCTATACATAGGAATCTCTTTTTCTGTTTTGCACATAGGGTTATCGTTACCATCTTTCTAAATTCCATATATATGTGTTAGTATACTGTAATGGTCTTTATCTTTCTGGCTTACTTCGCTCTGTATAATGGGCTCCAGTTTCATCCATCTCATTAGAACTGATTCAAATGAATTCTTTTTAATGGCTGAGTAATATTCCATGGTGTATATGTACCACAGCTTCCTCATCCATTCATCTGCTGATGGGCATCTAGGTTGCTTCCATGTCCTGGCTATTATAAACAGTGCTGCGATGAACATTGGGGTGCACATGTCTCTTTCAGATCTGATTTCCTCGGTGTGTATGCCCAGAAGTGGGATTGCTGGGTCATATGGCAGTTCTATTTCCAGCTTTTTAAGAAATCTCCACACTGTTTTCCATAGTGGCTGTACTAATTTGCATTCCCACCAACAGTGTAAGAGGGTTCCCTTTTCTCCACACCCTCTCCAGCATTTATTGCTTGTAGACTTTTGGATAGCAGCCATCCTGACTGGTGTGTAATGGTACCTCATTGTGGTTTTGATTTGCATTTCTCTGATAATGAGTGATGTTGAGCATCTTTTCATGTGTTTGTTAGCCATCTGTATGTCTTCCTTGGAGAAATGTCTGTTCAGTTCTTTGGCCCATTTTTTGATTGGGTCATTTATTTTTCTGGAGTTGAGCTGGAGGAGTTGCTTGTATATTTTTGAGATTAATCCTTTGTCTGTTGCTTCATTTGCTATTATTTTCTCCCAATCTGAGGGCTGTCTTTTCACCTTGCTTATAGTTTCCTTTGTTGTGCAAAAGCTTTTAAGTTTCATTAGGTCCCATTTGTTTATTTTTGCTTTTATTTCTAAAATTCTGGGATGTGGGTCATAGAGGATCCTGCTGTGTTATCACAGTTTTAGAGAGGACCTGGGAATGACTTCAACCTTTTCTGAGGGACTGGTAGACAATAAGCCTTTAAGTCTAGCTGGAATAGATCTATTGGGACATATCACCTTTGGAGCAGAGTTTCTTTCCAGTGATAATCTACAATTTTTTTCTTTTTTAGCCTGTTTCATTATAAAATTCTAAAAAGCAAGAGTGGTATAGAACTTTGGAGATTATTTGAGCCAACCAGCCCCCTAATTTTACAGAGGCCTAGAAAAGAACCCCTTTGATTAGTGCCAGACTCTGGACTAGAAACCCAGTCTTTGTCTTCTGGAGGAATACATTTTCTTCATTCAGCACACTGAGTTCTTATTCTGTGCTGGGCACTGGCATCATAGAAATGAGTAAGACCTGACTTTTCCCTAAAGGAATTTCATTCATTTACCTATTCAAACAGTAAGTATAAAGCATTTGCTGTGTGCTAGGCACTGCACTGTGAATAAGAGGTACATAGTTCCTTTTGAGGAACTAAAGAATGTTATGTATAGGCCTAGTAAGGCCAAAAGCACCTTGCAAGGAAAAAAAAAAAACAAGAAACAGGTATTTGCAATACCAGAGGAGCAAATGCTTAATAATCAAAGAGACATTCCTTAAATGATGTCACTGGTGTGGCTTACAAAGCACTTTCACATTTTTTTATCCCTCTTGATTTCATAGCAACTATGTAAGGTAAAGAAGGTTAACAGCTTTATCCCTAGTTAACAGAGTAAGAGACTGTAGTAAAATGTAATAAATGTGTAAAATAAATTGCCTTAAGAGTGCAGTGCTAGGATTAGGATTCAGACTCAAGTGTGACTCAGAAGACACTAAACAAAAGACCCCTTTATCCACTCTTACAGAGGTACCTGCTGCTGTTGATTCCTTAGTACTGGGTACTTTGTAGGCTTTTCAGTATACTTGGTAGCTTTGAGTTTTCTCTCTACTGGCTTAGACTTCAGTTGTCTCAAGCCTAATTAGTCATTTAGCCTGTGTCTCTTTGTTCTCCTGCTTTAAAATGTGTTCTGTTTTGTTGTTCTTGTCTCTGGATTAATGGCTTTTTTTTTTGTCAAGCGATAGGGGTTGAAATGCATATGTTCAGTCTACTACCTTTAAGCAGAAGTTTTTGGATTTCTCTTTATGTATTTTTTCCACAGATACATGCTGCTGTTCCAATTCTGTATTCAGTTTTTACTTAATTTTATAATGTAAACAATTTTACCTGTCATTAAATTATTTGTGAATACTGAAGTTGCATCATATGGACATACCAGTGTTTACACTATTTGTTTTACTATACTGCTGTTGTTGAGTATATAGCTGCTTTTAGGCTTTTTTTAAGTAATACAAAAAGGAACAAAGTTAGCGATAAAATTTTTCCGATAATTCTGATTATTTAGGCTAAAGCAGGATTTGGCAGACTATGACTCAGTCCACATCTGGGTCCCTGATCTCCTGTGAGCTAAAAGTTTTTTTAAAGGATTATGAAACAAAGAATGTATAACAGACCATATGTAGCCTGTAAAGTCTGAAATATTTACTATATGGCCCTTTAGAGAAAAATTTTGCCCAGGGGCTAGAGCTTTAGAAGTGAAATTAATAAGTATATACCAAACTGTTAGTAATACTTACAGTATAAACTAGGTTGGATAACCAGTGTTCATGATTGCACGCAAGTATATATGTGTGTACATGTGCCTGTATATTTAGATTTGGTTTGTTTATTTTATAAAGATAGGCTTCTATACACATTGACCCACCACTTAAAACAATGTAGGAAAGACATCCTATCATGCCTTTTACATACAGATCTATCTTACTCCTTTAATAGCTGTATTCAATAGTATGGATTTACTATATTTCATCATTACTAAATTGAGGATATTTAGTTTAGCTTTTCACAATTAAAAATAATACAGCAGCTCACATGCTTTCACATTTGTCATTGTACATTTTTTGCAAGCATTTCTTTGTTTTTTTGCAAGCAATTTTGAGGGTCAGTTTTTTGAAGAGTATTGTTGGGTCAAAGTGAATATACAATATGCACGCCAATTTGCTCTCTTGGTTTACTCTCAGAGTGCCCTTTCACCATATCTTCACCAATATTGGGTATTACCTGTTTTTAATTTTCAGTTTCATGTTAATCTTAATTTCTCTAATCAGTGATTTTGAGCATTTTTCCATGTGCTTACTAGCCATTTATAGTTGTTTGGTGGGTTGCTTGCTATTATAAACATTTCTGAGGTGCTTAATGAGCATAACTATTTTTTTTTCTATAAATAGTTGCTCTGATTTACATTTCTCTAAGATTGTCCAAGAGTGTTTTTGTTTCTACATACAAAATTTTGGAAATAATTTGATCTCAAAACTTGCTTTCTTGTTTACTGAATGGTGTTTTGTCAGGCAATTTTCGTTCTTCTCTCAATGATGTGATGGCTGCCAGAAAGCTAAAACCCTGCCACCTCAAAGCAATAATAAGAGGTAAGTCCTGTAGAGCTACAGTATGACTGTCACCATGGAAAAGTTGGTATGTGCAGCACCAGAAGTATTTTAAGCTTTGATATTAAGGTGCTAAGATACTAATGAAGTTACCTTATTTTTGCAATCTTGGTATTAAGTCATTATCAGCAGCAACATGGCCATTTTTAAAAGAATTCTTCAGAGAATAATTCAGCCCTCTGTGTTTTAAGAATTGGTAGAGAAATTGAAACTCCTCATTTTAAATTAATAAAGAATAAAATTAATTAAAGCAGTTCTGAAAGCCACATTCTAATTTTTTTTCCAAATTAGCTGATTGAAAGACAAGATCTTCAAATGCCATGTTATTGTTAATTAAAAGATAAGTTATGGGACTTGTGCTGATAATTCTAATGTTGAGATGTTCCCAGATTATTTTCTGTCCTAGTCTGACCTTTATATGTAATAATTTGCTTTTATTACTTGCATACTTCACCTTTTCTTTGAGAAGCTTAGTGGTGCTTTGTAAACTTTAATTTATTCATTATATATTAATCTCTATATCCCCATGGACCAACTTAAAATGCTTTATTAAAATTATGCTTATGTAATCATGGTTAGGGAGTTTATGTAGATCCAGGCCCTTCAGCTATAGGGAGAGAAGATGGGCAAATAAATTATGTATAGTCATGTGGAATTTGCTACAGGCTGGAAGTCTGTAGTGTGCTTGAATTGTTATTTTTACCTTACTATCTGGCCTTGGCAAGACACCCACTCTATCTCTGGAAGATGCGGTTGAATTCTGTTGACATTTAAAGTTTTTTAGTTCAGATGTTTTAAAATTCTGTAGAAAGCCCAAAGAGGCTAGCTGGAGGAAAAACACGATTGATTAAAGGAGAGGCAGCTTAAACTAGTAGCCATCAAGAACAGTTTTAGGAGACCTAACACGTTTGGTTTTGCCATTGCTTTTGTGAGTGACTGAGGCAAATTCTGCTTTCTCTCTCTATTTAAAGTCGTCTGAGATGGACTTTATTCTTCTCATTTATAGATGAGCAGCCTAAAGCTCAGGAATACTCAATCCACTATCTAATGTTTAGTTGGTTAATGACAGCTAGATTTCCAGCCCAGATCTCTCTGGTTCCAGAGACCATGTTCTTTGCCACTAAGCTGTAGCCTTCCCTACTTTAAAAGTCCTTGATACCAGAAAGAGAGTTTTGAGCTGAATGGGACCTAGAAACCTTTCTGATCTAAAATACAAGAAACAGTGTTCCTTGTCTGGGAATGCACTAAAAGGGACTTAATGATCCATTTTCCAGAACTTCAGGGTACTGGCTGGTAGCTGGTTGAAGTTGGGGGTCAGGTGCAAGGATGGTTCTTTCCATGCATCTTGTCCCCAGATACTAAGGGTGCTGGGTTCTACAGGTGCCTCTTGCCATCTGGAACTGAAAAACTATGTTGAGGCTGTGAACTGGTGCGATGAGGGGCTGCAGATAGATGCCACAGAGAAGAAGCTTCTGGACCTGAGGGCTAAAGCAGACAAGTTGAAGGTTGGTGGCAAAATTAATTAGCATCTCCCAGAGTGGATCTTGGGTCACTGTATATTTTTTTCCTTTAAAACAAAACCCAGGGAATTCCCTGGTCGTCCAGTGGTTAGGACTTTGTGCTTTCACTGCTGAGGTTCCAGATTCAATCCCTGGTGGGGGAACTAAGATTCCACAAGTCATATGGTGTGGCTAAAGAAAGAAGAAAACAACAACAGACACAACCCTGAATCAGTCTCTACCCATGAGGCTCTAGAGGATACAGAGAAGTAAATAAGTAATTATAACATGATAGAGGTAAGGGAGAATATATAGTACTTGATAAATTTGTGACTATTATGATTTGAATAAATAGACTAGTGGCATAGTCTAGCCTGCACACTGAGTATAGCTGTTGAAAGAGGAGGGGAAAGACAGTTAAACACTTAAGATGTTAGGCTTCTGTTTGTTTGTTGTTGTTTAGTTGCTGAGTCCTGTCCAATTCTTTTATGACCTCATGGACTGTAGCCTGCCAGGCTCCTCTGTCCATGGGATCTCCCAGGCAAAAATATTGGACTGGCTTACCATGTCTTTTCCAGGGGATCTTCCCATCTGAGGGATCAAACCATTGTCTCCTGCATTGGCAGGCGGGTTCTTGACCATTGAGCCATCACGGAAGCCCTAGGCTTCTATAATGCTGTGTAACTCCCAACATTAAGACATCTTTAATTTGCTGATGAAATGTGACATTTCTGGTACATAACAGCAAAAGTGATGATAAAAGCAATAGTAATAACAGACCATCACTACCAAAAAAACACTCAACATTAGCACTTACTGTATGTATGTTCCAAGTCCTATTTAAAAATTTTACTTATATGAATCTGTCTAAATCACACATAGGCCTATAGGGTAGGCAGTATTCTGATTGACTTTCCACTCGTGAGGAAGCTAAAGCAGAGAGATCAGAAAGTCACATAGCTAGTGAGGCTGGGCTTCAAAGTCAGGCAGTCTGGCTCCAGAGTCTATAGACTTAGTCCTCTGCAGTACTGTCTCACATGTTTGTTCCATAACAAGACTTCAGTTCTAGTGATTCTTGGTCTAGGTCTCTCTTCACTGCTTACACTATGGAATGGGAATTTTCAGTACCGTGGGAGCCTAGAGCTGGCCCTGAACAGGGATAAGTTTTAGTCAGAAGTCATTCTGGTCATGTCTACATAAGTAGGGGTATGGACCCACATGATTCGGTAATAGAATTTTGAGCCCAGGCAACTAGGTATGGCCAGAATTTCCAAAAGTGGCTTATACAGGAGAGAGTTTCTAGAAGGCTACTGTGGAAGGCCATTGCCAAGCCTGTCTGCAGAAGAACCCTTCAGTTCATTTCAGTTGTTCAGTCGTGTCAGACTGTTTGCAACCCCGTGAACCACAGCATGCCAGGCCTCTGTGTCCATCACCAACTCCCAGAGTCCACCCAAACCCATGTCCATTGTGTCGGTGATGCCATCCAACCATCTCATCCTCTGTCGTCCCCTTCTCCTCCTGCCCCCAACCGTTCCCAGCATCAGGGTCTTTTCAAATGAGTCAGGTCTCTGCATCAGGTGGCCAAAGTATTGGAGTTTCAGCTTCAACATCAGTCCCTCCAATGAACACCCAGGACTGATCTCCTTTAGCATGGACCACTTGATCTCCCTGCAGTCCAAGGGACTCTCAAAAGTCTTCTCCAACACCACAGTTCAAAAGCATCAATTCTTCAGTGCTCAGCTTTCTTTATAGTCCAACTCTCACGTCCACACATGACCACTGGAAAAACCGTAGCCTTGACTAGACGACCTTTGTTGGCAAAGTAATGTCTCTGCTTTTTAATATGCTGTCTAGGTTGGTCATAACTTCCTTGCAAGGAGTAAGCATCTTTTAATTTCATGGCTGCAATCACCATCCCCAGTGATTTTGGAGCCCAGAAAAATAAAGTCAGCCACTGTTTCCACTCTTTCCCCATTTATTTGCCATGAAGTGATGGGACCGGATGCCATGATCTTAGTTTTCTGAATGTTGAGCTTTCAGCCAACTTTTTCACTCTCCTCTTTCACTTTCTTCAAGAGGCTCTTTAGTTCTTCTTCACTTTTCTGCCATAAGGGTGGTGTAATCTGATACTTCTCCTGGCAATCTTGATTCCAGCTTGTGCTTCCTCCAGCCCAGCGTTTCTCATGATGTACTCTGCATATAAGTTAAATAAGCAGGGTGACAATATCCAGCCTTGACGTACTCCTTTTCCTATTTGGAACCAGTCTGTTGTTCCATGTCCAGTTCTAACTGTTGCTTCCTGACCTGCATACAGGTTTCTCAAGAGGCAGGTCAGGTGGTCTGGTATTCCCATCTCTTTCAGAATTTTCCAGTTTATTGTGATCCACACAGTCAAAGGCTTTGGCATAGTCAATAAAGCAGAAATAGATGTTTTTCTGGAACTCTCTTGCTTTTTCGATGATCCAGCAGTTGTTGGCAATTTGATCTCTGGTTCCTCTGCCTTTTCTAAATCCAATTTGAACACGTGCAAGTTCACGGTTCACTTACTGCTGAAGCCTGGCTTGGAGAATTTTGAGCATTACTTAACTAGCGTGTGAGATGAATGCAATTGTGTGGTAGTTTGAGCATTCTTTGACGTTACCTTTCTTTGGGATTGGAATGAAAACCTTTTCCAGTCCTGTGGCCACTGCTGAGTTTTCCAAATTTGCTGACATATTGAATGCAGCACTTTCACAGCATCATCTTTTAGGATTTGAAATAGCTCAGCTGGAATTCCATCACCTCCACTAGCTTTGTTCATAGTGATGCTTCCTAAGGCCCACCTGACTTAACATTCCAGGATGTCTGGGTCTACGTGAGTGTGAGTGATCGCACCTTCGTGATTATCTGGGTCATGAAGATCTTTTTTGTACAGTTCTTCTGTGTATTCTTGCCACCTCTTCTTAATATCTTCTGCTTCTGTTAGGTCCATACCATTTCTGTCCTTTATTGAGCCCATCTTTGCGTGAAATGCTCCCTTGGTATCTCTTAATTTTCTTGAAGAGATCTCCTGTCTTTCCCATTCTGTTGTTTTCCTGTATGGACCTAAATAAAAGCGTCTATGCCTTGCAGCACAAGTGTAATTAAAGGGAGATTTCAGGGCCCAAAAACATAACTCTGAAATGAACCAAAGCCTTGTAGCAATCTGGGTAGTGGTTATTCGAAAATAATGGCTGAACTTCCTTAAGAACAGCAAGCTTTGTGGCATTTTACCTTGCCCTATCCCATCGCCTCTCTCCCAAGGTCCACAGTAGCCTTGAAAGCCAACAGCCCACAATTCTGTGAAAATGAGCATCCTGGTAGCCACCAGAGGAGGCAGAACAGTATTAAGCCCCATTCCCAGAGGATTGTCATTATTTGACCATCTAGAAGACCCCACTCACAAGTTGTTTTTATTTGAGGCATCTTGAAACTATCCCAGTATGAAAAGCTTTTTCACAGAGGGTTGTGATTGGAGGCATTTGTTAAATATGATTTGAGGTAATTATGTAAGATTTCATCTGCCTGAGGCAATGGAAAACAGTTGAGGCAAGTAATAGGCTTGCCAGAAAACTTAAAAGGACAAGCTGGGGAATGAGATTCTTTAGGGTCTTTGAAAAGCTCCAGTGTATTCCTGGGAATCTAGAAGGTCCTGTATGTATGTTCTGAGCTATCGCCTCTGCTTCCCAAGTGGCTCAGTGGTAAAGCATCCACCTGCCAATGCAGGAGACGCAGGGGACCTAGGTTTGATCCCTGTGTCAGGAAGATTCCCCTGGAGAAGGAAATGGCAACCCACTCTAGTATTCTTGCCTGGAGAATCCCACGGACAGAGGAGCCTCGTGGGCTCCAGTCCATAAGGTTGCCATGAGTTGGACCCAGCTGAAGCGACTTAGCATGCAAAGGCAAAGAAACTCATACAGTCTATTAGCAAAAGCAATATTCCAAGAAAACTTTGTTCTCTCAATAGAGGAACTAAATTCTGTCCCATACTACTATTAGTAATTTTAATTTAGTAAATTAAATTTACCTAATTTAATTCCAGCCTGACTGTATACAAAACTTCTTTTTCAAGGTTCCCTTTTCCAAATCTCATATTAGTTCCTTATTTTTCATCTTGAAACAGTCAGCTCTAGGACAAAGCCACATGCTCTAGTTGTGTGGGCTTCAGTAGTTGTGGCATGTGGGACCAGGCATCGAACCCATGTCCCCTGAATTGCCAGGTGGGTTCCCATCCTCTGTACCACCAGGGAAGTCTTCCCTTACCTTTTCAAAGCAGTTCCTAGAGCTATCTGAGAGGCCGCCTCCCAGGTTTAAGTCCTCGGCAAGTCTTGCAAATAAAACAGAATTCTCACCTTTTTAGGTTATGCTTTTTTTTTTTTTCAGTCAACAATTGCTAACAGACTCTGCAGCAGAAATAACATGAACTTGGTTAACCTAAGTACAATAAGTAAGACATGTTTACATTGGTTAAACCAACAAGCTTAAGCTAGCTTCATTATCAGATATAATTCAATATTGAATATTTCCGAGATGTGAATCTGAAATTCATTCTGGCCAGTTTATATTTAGAAAAAGTTAATTTGTGTTTACTTTTAAGTCTGTTAAATAGAGCTTTCTTATACATTTAATTTTGATAATATTTTCCATAGAGACATCTTATGTGCATAATGTACACATAGATGTACAGACAGATGAGACTGGAGATCTTTTAGCTTTAACATGTGCATAGTTTGCAAAGCCTAAAATACTTACTGTCTGGCCCTTTACAGAAAAAGTTGGCCCCTATTAATCACAGTCCTGAGGGTTGGAGTAGGATCATCTGGTTTTGGGCAGACTATTAGGAAAAGGAAATCTGAGTTATAGTTCTGACAGATGAAGTAGACTGGTGATATTTTTCTCTCATGAACTGTAATTGTGCAAAAGGCAGAGTCTTTGATAAGTTTTTGGACCAGGGCAGAGTCTCTGATATGTTCTTGCCCTGGGTTTTTCCCAGTGTGTTTTCCTGTACTCCATCCATAACAGAGAAGTTTTAATGCCCCATTGGCTCTTATGTCAGGTCCTCTTTCAAAAATGCCCTTTCTCTTTCATCTGGTTTCTGTCTAAACCACCTCCATGGGGCAGAATCAGTCATCATTCCCTCCTCTGTGTTTCATAGCACTCAGTTCATACTACCAGGCTAACACTGGACCTTTTCATATGTCTGTTCCCCTCAGTAGACTATGAGTTCCTTGGATAGGTTTTAACCTATTACTGCTGCCACTGGTCCTAGCACCCAGACATGTGCTTCTTAAATGTTTATCAAACTGAATCCAGCCACTGGTGTTCCTTGATATACAGGAGCCAGAGTTGAGTAGAGACAAGAGATAGCTATTTAGGGCCAGGCTGGAGTAACAGGAGAGGAGAGGAGGCAAGTTCCCTAGAGCTGATGCATCTGAATTTTTCATTTTCAGCGAACTGAACAGAGGGATATAAGGAAAGCAAAGTTGAAAGAAAAGAAGAAGCAGGATCAGAATGAGGCTTTACTCCAGGCCATCAAGGTGAGTTCTCAAACTTTCTGCCCTGTGGTCTTGCAGAATTCACTCATCATGAAGTTGATCGGGAACCTTTCTGGGGATGCTTTACCTGAATGAGTTGTTCATTTTCTTTCTTTTTTTGGTGAAGCAGTGTGACAAGTCAGACCCCCTGAGTTCAGGCAGCTGTCTCACTTGTATGCATGTGTTGGTTTCAGGTAACATATACTGAATAGTTGCTATGGGTTAATCATTATCTAATCTTCATAGTAGCCTTCCGAGGTGGGTCTTCTTGACCCTTCTTACTCCACGTAGTCTCAGAGAAACCTCACGCAGCTAGTGTGTGTCAGAGCCAGGTCCTTGCTCTTAGCCCCTGTGTTACACTTCGTCCTGAGAAAGTGATTTTGGGATGCAGCTCTCCTGACTGTCACAATAACACAAAATTCTACCTCCCCTCCCCTCTCTTTCCTACATTTTAAATAAATGTAGGCAAAGTCTGATCCAGATCTTGCTTTCACAAGTCGCCTCTTGAGCCTTGGCTTCACAGGGGAGGTAATACTGGCTATGAGTTTGGTTCTTGATTTCATTCTTTGTTGAGTTAAATTATGTACCTCTTTAAAATTATTTGTTGGCTTTGAGAACTTCACAGTACTAAGATGCACTCCACTAGTCCTGCCCTACAACAGAAAATCTGTCAGCATGTTAACAGATTAAACAGAAGGGAATAACTCCAGAGAGATTTGGTCATTATCTCAAATGTGGAGTATTAGAATGCCTAGACATTGGCATACAGACATTATTTTGGTACTCTCCTTTAACTTCACATCTGAAACTTCTGTGTACTTGAGAACTGCTCTAGAGAGTAATATACCCAAAGCTATATATATTGTATTTTAGTGGTTTAAAGCTGGGGTCAGCAAGCTGCAGCCAGTGGCTCATGGCCCTGCCTATTTGTGTCTTACTGATGACTATTTTCACACTACAGTGGCAGAGTTGAGTAATATCCACAGAGATCATCTGGTCCACAAAACCTAAAATATTTATTAATCTGGCCCTTTCAGGGAAAGTTTGCAAACCCCTGGTGTAGGAGATACCATCAGGGTAGTTTTGATTACATGTCATTTTTCCCTTGTGGGCTAGCCTTAGGAACCTCCCCCCAGCATACGTAAGAGGTGACTCTACCATTCAGATCTTTGATTTATCCTTATTTCTATGAGAGACTCAAGATTAAGTCAGTGTATGTATAATTTTTCGTATCCCACGTCCCAGCCAAATTGAAAACATTTGCCATTTTTGTACATGCCACTCTCTGCATTTTTTCAGTACCTTTGCACATGCTGTTCCTTGGCTGTTCCCTGGGGTAGAATGCCCTTCCACTCCCCTGCACCCCAATTCTTCTGCCTTTCAGAATCACTTTTCAAGACCTAGCATTCCCCAGTCACTTCCAGCCTCCAGGCTGAATTAATTATTCATGGTCTGCAGTTCCACAGCTTTACTTCTTCCCTTATGTTGGACTTACTACCATGTCTAGTTCATGTCTGTGACAACAGTCTCGCTTGTGGTAGAAGGCCGGTAAAGGTGAGTTCAGCAGGTGTCACGGATAATGAAGACAAATCATGTGTAGAGCTGGCCTTCACAGAGCTCGTAATGTTACGGTTTTCCCTGTTTTAGTGAAGTGAGTTTGCATCCTTCTCACATAACATGTATGTTTTTGCTTTAATCCAGGCTAGGAATATCAAGCTAGTTGCTGAAGCTCCTGGAGAGGATGAAGACTCAGCCTCAGAAGGTCTCAGTGAGCTTGTCCTGTATGGCCTCAGCTCTGAAAACCCCTGTGGAACCAGGCTGAGTGTGGATGACCAGGGAAGACTGAGCTGGCCTGTGCTCTTTCTGTACCCGGAGTATGCCCAGTCGGACTTGGTCTCTGCTTTTCACGAGGACTCCAGGTAACGTCCTTCCCCGGGAGCCTTCTGTGGTGCTTGCATGCTCTTCCCTGTTCTTTCGGCAGGATGGCCAGGTAGAATTTTGGGTGAGGAGGGAAGAGAATAGTTTTAGAGAGTTTTATTTCACAGTCTGGTTTAGCGTAATCTCTCTAACCCATAGCTGATTTCTCCTTTCACTAAGAAGCTTTGCAATGAGAGACATGGTCTCACTGTCATACTAACACCACAGTACAGCGTTTGTCAAGCACTGGTAGTTGTCTCTTGTGAGAGGTGAAAGCATTGGAGGTAGTACATGAATAAAACTGAAGGGTGTGTTTTTTAGAAAACATATAACTAGTGATTTTAACATGTGATTTCATAGTTAATGGCTAGACTGTGGCTCATTATAGGAATGTTGTTAATCCTGAGTAAGTTAAAGAGAATTACTATGTCATAATGGGACAAATATTCAGCAATACGTGAACCGTGAACTTGCACGTGTTCAAATTGGATTTAGAAAAGGCAGAGGAACCAGAGATCAAATTGCCAGCAACTGCTGGATCATCGAAAAAGCAAGAGAGTTCCAGAAAAACATCTATTTCTGCTTTATTGACTATGCCAAAGCCTTTGACTGTGTGGATCACAATAAACTGGAAAATTCTGAAAGAGATGGGAATACCAGACCACCTGACCTGCCTCTTGAGAAACCTGTATGCAGGTCAGGAAGCAACAGTTAGAACTGGACATGGAACAACAGACTGGTTCCAAATAGGAAAAGGAGTACGTCAAGGCTGGATATTGTCACCCTGCTTATTTAACTTATATGCAGAGTACATCATGAGAAACGCTGGGCTGGAGGAAGCACAAGCTGGAATCAAGATTGCCAGGAGAAGTATCAGATTACACCACCCTTATGGCAGAAAAGTGAAGAAGAACTAAAGAGCCTCTTGAAGAAAGTGAAAGAGGAGAGTGAAAAAGTTGGCTGAAAGCTCAACATTCAGAAAACTAAGATCATGGCATCCGGTCCCATCACTTCATGGCAAATAAATGGGGAAAGAGTGGAAACAGTGGCTGACTTTATTTTTCTGGGCTCCAAAATCACTGGGGATGGTGATTGCAGCCATGAAATTAAAAGATGCTTACTCCTTGCAAGGAAGTTATGACCAACCTAGACAGCATATTAAAAAGCAGAGACATTACTTTGCCAACAAAGGTCGTCTAGTCAAGGCTACGGTTTTTCCAGTGGTCATGTGTGGACGTGAGAGTTGGACTATAAAGAAAGCTGAGCACTGAAGAATTGATGCTTTTGAACTGTGGTGTTGGAGAAGACTTTTGAGAGTCCCTTGGACTGCAGGGAGATCAAGTGGTCCATGCTAAAGGAGATCAGTCCTGGGTGTTCATTGGAGGGACTGATGTTGAAGCTGAAACTCCAATACTTTGGCCACCTGATGCGGAGACCTGACTCATTTGAAAAGACCCTGATGCTGGGAACGGTTGGGGGCAGGAGGAGAAGGGGACGACAGAGGATGAGATGGTTGGATGGCATCACCGACACAATGGACATGGGTTTGGGTGGACTCTGGGAGTTGATGATGGACAGGGAGGCCTGGCGTGCTGTGGTTCATGGGGTCGTAAAGAGTCTGACACGACTGAGCGACTGAACTGAACTGAACTGAATGGGACAAATGATTCACATATTTTGGGCACTGTTGTCAAAATGGATTAGGCCTGCATTTCATGATTTATACATTATTGATATCTCCGTGAATTGGTGTCCAGGGGATGGGATGTGGGAAAACAGATTATGACTTACTGATACCAGAAAGTACATGTTATATTTCCTTAGGTTTATTGATCATCTAATGGTGATGTTTGGTGAAACACCATCTTGGGATTTAGAGCAAAAATACTGCCCTGATAATTTAGAGGTAAGAGAAGTTTTCTTTTGTCCTTCTATGGGAATTGGAGTTGGGGGAATCAGGGTGGAGCAAGGTTTCACTGCCTTTTTTAAAGAAAAATTGTGGTAAAATATAAAAAACATAAAATTTACCATTTTAAACATTTCAAAGTGTACACTTCAGTAGCATTAAGTGCATCCACATTGTTGTACAACCATTACCACCGTCTGTCTCCATTTTCATCATCCTGAACTGATGTTCAGGAACTCTGTTCCTCCTGTCTCTGAATTGATCTACTCTAGGTGCCTCACGTAAATGGAGTCATAGAGTATTTGTCGTTTTTAATCTGGCCAGTATTGTTTTAGTTTCTCAAGAATATGGTAAAGTGATTCAGTTATATTTTTTCCAGATTATTTTCCATTATATGTTACTGTGAGCTATTGAAAATAGTTCCCTGTACTATAAAGTAAATCTTTGTTGCTTATGTATTTTACGTATAGAAGTTTGTATCTGTTAACCCCATACTCCTAATTTATCCTCCACGTCTTTCCCCTTTGGTAACGATGTTTGTTTTCTGTGTCTTTGAGTCTCTTCCTATTTTACATGTAGATTCATTTTTATTTTTATTTTTTTGGCCACACCACATGGTGTGGTATCTCAGGTCCCTGACCAGGGATTTAACCTGTACCCCCTGCAGTGGAAGCACAGAGTCTTCCATTGTACCACTGGGAAAGGCCCTGTATTATTTTTTAGATTCCAACATGATACCGTATATTTTCCTTTGACTTACTTCACTAAGTATAATATTTTCTAGATCCATCCATGTTGCTACAAAAGGCAGTTTTTTTTTAATGGCTGAGTAGTATTCCGTTGTGTGTATATACCACATCCTCTTAAGCCAATCATCTGTCGATGGGCACTTGTGGTGTTTCCATTCTTGGCTATTATAAATTGTGCTGCCTTGAACATTGGGATACATGTGTCTTTTCAAGTTAGAGTTTTCTCTGAATATATGCCCAGGAGTAGGGTTGCTGGATCATATTGTAACTATTAGCTTTTTAAGGAACCTCCATATTGCTTTCCATAGTGGGTGCACCAATTTACATTCCCACCAACAGTGCAGGAGGGCTCCCTTTTCTCCACATCCTTTCCAGCATTTCTGCATAGACTTTTTAATGATGGCCGTTCTGACTGGTGTGTGGTGTTACCTCACTGTGGTTTTTGATTTGCATTTCTCCAGTAATTAGCAATGTTGAGCATCGTTTCATGTCTCTGTTGGCCACCTGTGTGTTTTCTTTTTAGAAATGTCAGTTTGGGTCTTCTGCCCATTTTTGAGAGTTTTTATCATGAGTGGATGTTGAATTTTGTCAAATGCTTTTTTGGTATCTGTTGAGATGATCGCATAGCTTTTGTCTTTCCTTTCGTTAATGTGATATATCACACTGATTGATTGGTGTATATTGAACAGTCCTTGTGACCATGGAGTCAATACAACTTGATCTTTTCTTCTTTATACTCCCTTCCCCCACATTTTGTGATTTTTATGTCCTATTTATTTTACATCTCATTTATACTTTTGCTATTATAGTTTCAATTGCTTTTACAGAATATTTTGGTTTTATAATCTGTGTACTGGCTTATTTAAATGATCTTCTATCCTTTTATATATTTGCCTTTCCCACTGTGATCTTCCTTTCCAATAGATTCTGCTGCTTTTTTATTTAGGGAAGACCTTTCAGTACTAAAGACCCATGAAAGTGAAGTCGCTCAGTCATGTCCGACTCTTTGTGACCCCATGGACTAATGTGGCCCACCGGGCTCCTCCATCCATGGGATTCTCCAGGCAAGAATATTGGAGTGGATTGCCATTTCCTTCTCCAGGGGCTCTTCCTGACCCAGGGATCGAACCCAGGTCTTCTGCATTGCAGGCAGATGCTTTAACCTCTGAGCCACCAGGGAAGCCCACTAAAGACCCTTAGTATTGCTGAATTCTTTTAGTTCTGCCTGTCTAAAAGAAATTATTTATCCTTCTTTCTTTTGTAAATGATAGTTTTGCTGGGTAGGGTTGTAGATTTTTCCTCTTTAGGACTTTGACTATATCATGTCACTCTCTAGACTGCAATGCTTCTGCAAACAAATCAGCTAATAACCTTACTTGGGTTCCTCTTTAACTGACTCTTTGTCTTTCTCTTGCTGACTTTGGAATCTTCTCTTTAACTTTTGCTATTTTAATTATGTTGTGTCTTGTTCTCTACCTATTCAGGTTCATCTTGTTTGGAACTGTCCGTCTGTGTTTCCTGTACCTGGATATCTTTTTTTTTGGGGGGGGGTTGGGAAATCTTCTGCCATAATTTCTACAAATACATTTTTGATCTTTTCTCTCTCTTTGCTTTCTGGAACTTCTATTATGTGTAGGTTGGCATGCTTTATATTAATCTGTAGATCTCATATGTTTTTTTTTTTTTAATTTGTCTTTCTGTCTGCTCTTCTGATTGGGTAGTTTTCATTATTCTATTTTCCAGATCACTTATTCATTCTTCTGTGACGTTTAGTCTGCTATTCATTACTTCTAGAGTTGGTTTTTAATCTCAGCAATTGAATTGTCTAATTTCGATTGATTCATGTTTATAGTTTCTAGTCCTTTTTACAGTGATCAGCATTTTTACTGATAATCTTTCTTAATTCCTTTAGCATTTTTATTACCTTCTTTTTGAACTTGAGGTCTAATAGACTGGAGAGGTCTGTTTCATTATTTGTTCTTTCAGGGGAATTCTGTTCTTCTACCTGGAAGAAGTTCCTCTGCTTTTTCATTTTACTTCACTGTCACTATCTCTCTGAATTTATGAAAACAGTTACCTATTGTGGTCTTTAAAAAGCATTCCTGCTCAGAGTGTGTCCAGTATTTTTGGTGTGAGGGCTGTTTTGGGTATGGATGCCAGCCACATCTTTCTTTTTTTTTTCCATTTATTTTTATTAGTTGGAGGCTAATTACTTTACATTATTGTAGTGGTTTTTGTCATACACTGACATGAATTAGCCATGGAGTTACATGTATTCCCCATCCCGATCCCCCCTCCCACCTCCCTCTCCACCCGATCCCTCTGGGTCTTCCCAGTGCACCAGGCCCGAGCACTTGTCTCATGCATCCAACCTGGGCTGGTGATCTGTTTCACCCTAGATAATATTCATGTTTCGATGCTGTTCTCTTGAAACATCCCACCCTCACCTTCTCCCACAGAGTCCAAAAGTCTGTTCTATACATCTGTATCTCTCTTTCTGTTTTGCATATAGGGTTATCGTTACCATCTTTCTAAATTCCATATATATGTGTTAGTATACTGTAACGGTCTTTATCTTTCTGGCTTACTTCGCTCTGTATAATGGGCTCCAGTTTCATCCATCTCATTAGAACTGATTCAAATGAATTCTTTTTAATGGCTGAGTAATATTCCATGGTGTATATGTACCACAGCTTCCTCATCCATTCATCTGCTGATGGGCATCTAGGTTGCTGCCATGTCCTGGCTATTATAAACAGTGCTGTGATGAACATTGGGGTGCACGTGTCTCTTTTAGACCTGGTTTCCTCGGTGTGTATGCCCAGAAGTGGGATTGCTGGGTCGTATGGCAGTTCTATTTCCAGTTTTTTAAGAAATCTCCACACTGTTTTCCATAGCAGCTGTACTAGTTTGCATTCCCACCAACAGTGTAAGAGGGTTCCCTTTTCTCCACACCCTCAGCATTTATTGCTTGTAGACTTTTGGAAAGCAGCCATCCTGACTGGCGTGTGATGGTACCTCATTGTGGTTTTGATTTGCATTTCTCTGATAATGAGTGATGTTGAGCATCTTTTCATGTGTTTTTTAGCCATCTGTATGTCTTCCTTGGAGAAATGTCTGTTTAGTTCTTTGGCCCATTTTTTGATTGGGTCATTTATTTTTCTGGAGTTGAGCTGGAGGAGTTGCTTGTATATTTTTGAGATTAATCCTTTGTCTGTTGCTTCGTTTGCTATTATTTTCTCCCAATCTGAGGGCTGTGTTTTCACCTTGCTTATAGTTTCCTTTGTTGTGCAAAAGCTTTTAAGTTTCATTAGGTCCCATTTGTTTATTTTTGCTTTTGTTTCTAAAATTCTGGGAGGTGGGTCATAGAGGATCCTGCTGTGATTTATGTCGGAGAGTGTTTTGCCTATGTTCTCCTCTAGGAGTTTTATAGTTTCTGGTCTTATGTTTAGATCTTTAATCCATTTTGGGTTTATTTTTGTGTATGGTGTTAGAAAGTGTTCTAGTTTCATTCTTTTACAGGTGGTTGACCAGTTTTCCCAGCACCACTTGTTAAAGAGGTTGTCTTTTTTCCATTGTATATCCTGGCCTCCTTTGTCGAAGATAAGGTGACCATAGGTTCATGGATTTATCTCTGGGCTTTCTATTCTGTTCCATTGATCTATATTTCTGTCTTTGTGCCAGTACCATACTGTCTTGATGACTGTGGCTTTGTAGTATAGTCTGAAGTCAGGCAGGTTGATTCCTCTAGTTCCATTCTTCTTTCTCAAGATTACTTTGGCTGTTCGAGGTTTTTTGTATTTCCATACAAATTGTGAAATTATTTGTTCTAGTTCTGTGAAAAATACTGTTGGTAGCTTGATAGGGATTGCATTGAATCTATAGATTGCTTTGGGTAGTATAGCCATTTTGACAATATTGATTCTTCCAATCCATGAACACGGTATATTTCTCCATCTGTTTGTGTCCTCTTTGATTTCTTTCATCAGTGATTTATAGTTTTATATGTATAAGTCTTTTGTTTCCTTAGGTAGATATGCTCCTAAGTATTTTATTCTTTTTGTTGCAGTGGTGAATGGTATTGTTTCCTTAATTTCTCTTTCTGTTTCTCATTGTTAGTGTATAAGAATGCAAGAGATTTCTGTGTGTTAATTTATATCCTGCAACTTTACTATATTCATTGATTAGCTCTAGTAATTTTCTGGTAGAGTCTTTAGGGTTTTCTATGTAGAGGATCATGTCATCTGCAAA